TTGTTAGGACCAATAAGATATAGTAATCCTCACTTGTGATAATATTAAAAATAAGGAAATTGAGGCACAGTGAGGTTAAACAACATGCTTGGCTAGGAAGTGGCTGAGCTAAGGCTACAAGTGGGACAGGCTGAGTCCAGAGCAGCAGCTCTTGCCTTTCATAGCCTCTCTACAATGGGCACATGTCATTTTTCAGACTGTTGCAGGCATCCTCTCACTTGAGTCTTGTAGCCACAGTGGGAGCTATTGGTAGGTGCCATAATTGTCCTCCCTGTGTGGATGGGTGAAGGAATGGGTAAGAGTGCAGCTGCTTAGGGTCAAATCTCATTTCCTACTTGTTGTCCATGTCCGTGGACAACTGTTTTCTTGTCTGAAAATGAAGATACTGTTGTGCCAACTAGATGAATCACTGTTTGCAAGGTGATTAGAGCAGTCGCCAGACAGTTCACGCCTGATAAGAGTTAGCTGTGATGGGGAAACAGACACAGAGAGGTGATGTAACCTGCCCAAAGTCACACAGCTCATAATCTGCCACCAAGTCAATTTCTCTGACAGCCAAGTTGTATTTTTTTCTGCTTTCCCTGAGCCAGCATCTGCATGGAGAGTGGACAGCAGTGCGCTAGAATTCGGAATCCTCTCAATCCACATGGACCTCATCCCTCACCCTTCATTTCTTATCCCTTAGAAGTTCCACCTTGTGCCAAGCATCAATGCTGTGAGTGGCAGCCAGGAATTGCAGTGGATGGTGCAGCCTCATTTCCTGGGGCTGAGCAGCTACCCCACGCCTCCGGCCTACCCAGAGTACAGTCCTCCACAGCCCCGGCCAGGAGTCATTCGGGCCCTGGGGCCCCCTCCAGGGGTGCGTCGCCGGCCTTGTGAACAGGTAAGCAATAGAGGTGTTGCACTGGTGCTGACTGCCCCCAGGGGTGCTAGTGTGCTGGACAGTATAGACTTACAAGGGGGAAGGTAGGACCATTATGAGTATTGCACAAGGCAGAAAGTCACAGGATTTATCCCCAGGAAGGCCCAGAGGTCAGAGAGGTCACTCCTGGATCAGGAAAAGCTTCCTGGTGAAGGCAGCATGTAATCTAGAAGGTGGGTAGGATTTGCACAGGTAGAGCTGAAGGAAAGGCCTTTCCAAGGAGAGGAATGGCAGGAGCAAGGGTCAAGGTGGAGGGGAGAGAATGTAAGGTACGCATGTGGACAAGTGACAGGGTCTCCACCTGCGGACATGTGTGGTGGTGTGCACTTCTGCCATCAGTAGTTGGGGAGAGAATGGGAACACAAGGGTTTCCTTCAGCTATTCTCTGGGTCTGTTTCCTTATCTCATTTAGTTCTCACAAAAACCCTCTAGGGGATGCTCTTTGGCTTTTTCCACCTTCCAGCTGAGGAAACGAAGGCACAGAGAGATAGTCACTTGCCTAGGATCACACAAGACAGGACTGGCCTTGGCTCCAGGTCCATCCATCTCTAAAGTCAGATCCTGAGCATGAAGGAGCTAACAGAAGGCTCCTGACAGAAGGAGCTGGGAACTCCTATCTCCTCCAAATAAATGAGTAAGAGGTGGAGGGTCTGTGAGGGAGCGATTCCTCTATCCTCTCCTGGGGGCGGGCGGTATATGAGACTATGGTGGGTTGAAGTTTCCACATTAAAAGCTTGCCCTGTGCTGGGCATGGTGGTTTATGCCTGTAATCCCAGAACTTGGAAGGCTGAGGCAGGAAGATTGAAGAGTTCAAGGCTATCCTGGGCTATATAACTATGTAGCAAATTTGAAGCCACTTTGGGACATAATGAGACCTTATTAAAAAAAAAAAAAAAGAAGACGAAAAAAAAAAAAAAGACAAAAAGCTTGCTCTAAGGCTGGGTAGAGGATGGGGGAGGGAGTTGGGGAGCCTGAGAAAGATGTGAGATCTGCCAGAGGCTGATGCCCAGAAACAGAATGGCTAGCTTTTATGAGCAACTGGAGAAAGGGACTGGGATGTGAGGAGAGGCAGGCCACGGGTAACCCCTCTACGCCATGCTTCTTCCTTCAGCCTTGTCCTGAGTATGACTCTTTGATCCTGGGTCCTACCAGGCTGGGACTAAGCTGTCAGTGGGGTCATGCTGGGAGAGGTGGGCTCCATCAGCTGCCTCTCCCTCAACGGAAAAAGGTGACTGGATATTAACTCCTACTCTGAACAAGATACTCCTCCTCCTTGGGCTTCATTTCCTTACATGGGAAATTGGATGAAGACTCTATTAAGAGCTGGGCATGTAGCTCAGTGGTAGCTCAGTCAGCACAGCAGGAAAAAAGAAGGGACAGAAGCAGCTACGTAAAGTGCCTAGCTGGCAGATAGCAGGCCCATAATAAATTGCAACTTATTCAGCAGCACTCATGAGTCCTTCTTATAGTTTGTAGTTCCTGGGGTAAGAGGAGATTTGGTCTTCCAGAGACACAGAAGGATGAGAGTCCGGTGAAAAGGAATAACCCAACCCAGGAGCTCAGAGGGGGAAGACTAATGGTTGGGGAATGAGAACACTTCCGGGAGGTGGGAGCATCTTACCTGATCCCTAGGTTGGGTCTGTAGAAGGAGGAAGGGATATTATAGGAGAGAAATAGTTGCTAAAGCCAAGACCGAGGAAGAAATTTGACCAAGCAAAGGGCGCCTGAGGGGGGCGGGGATATAGCTCAGCAGCACAGCGCATGCCTGGCAAGCATGAGGTCCTGAGTTTGATTCCTGGTACCCGCCCCCCATAAAAGGAGCGCCTGAGTGCTGAGAACCAGTTGGGGTGTGGTGGTCCTTAAATTACAGGCTCAGCCCACTCCCACCCCGCACTGCTAAGCTTCTGCTAGAGTCCTACCACGGGGTCACGCAGGATGGTAAGCTTCGAGGAGCCAGTGGCCTGGTGTCTGCCTCACTGCTGGCCCCATCCGCATCCCTCAGATCAGCCCAGAGGAGGAGGAGCGCCGCCGGGTGAGGCGCGAGCGGAACAAACTGGCCGCGGCCAAGTGCAGGAACCGGAGGAAGGAACTGACCGACTTCCTGCAGGCTGTGAGTACTGGTTCTGGCCCACTGGGCCTAGGAGGGACCTCAGCTCCCGGGGGCCCCAGTCTATATTAGTCCCCCAGAGCCCATCCTAACTCTGTGTCTGAAGGGGAGTGGTTCTGGGAAAAGGAGAAAATACAATTAAAGATTAGTTGTAATGCACTAGCAGCAGAGCATAGCTAAGTCTAGCTGGCAGTCTCCTTCCAATTTGCCCGGCGCCTGATGGGAGTCATGCCTATTTTTCTCCCATGGACTCATGGGAGTTGAAGTCCAGACAGGCTCCCCTCCCCCCTCCCGGCCCCCAGGCGTTTGGGTCTTCAGCCCTCATATTTCCACATCTTCCGCTGACCCTCTGTAGGAGACAGACAAACTGGAGGATGAGAAATCCGGGTTGCAGCGAGAGATAGAAGAGCTGCAGAAGCAGAAGGAGCGCCTGGAGCTAGTGCTGGAAGCCCACCGCCCCATCTGCAAAATCCCAGAAGTAGACAGGGACAGGGATCCAGGTGGTGCCAGCAGTACCGGTGGCACCAGCAGCCCACCAGCCCCCTGCCGCCCCGTACCTTGTATCTCCCTTTCCCCAGGGCCTGTGCTTGAACCCGAGGCATTGCACACACCAACACTTATGACCACACCCTCGCTGACTCCTTTTACCCCCAGTCTGGTCTTCACCTATCCCAGCACTCCTGAGCCCTGTGCCTCAGCTCACCGAAAGAGTAGCAGCAGCAGTGGGGACCCATCTTCAGATCCTCTAGGCTCCCCAACCCTCCTTGCTTTGTGAGACACCCAGCCCCACCCCTGCAGATGTACCCTAGACATTTATCTTTGCCCCACTGGTCCAGCAGGCCTGGATCACATTCCATACTCAATGCCAGTAGTTTCTTCTGCACCCCTCTTGATGGGAATGAGCATATTTTACTTTTCAGAAGAGCCAGCTTGGGGCTACCAAAGCTGCTCACTGTTTCTCTAGAGCTGGCCTCTCCATCCCAATTTTCACTAAATCAAGAGAAAATATTTTCCATTTGTGCCAGAGAAATGCTGGTAAACCAAAAGACTACCCCTATTCCATTGCAGACCACTCCCAAACCCCATCACCCTCTCCTTTAGATCCACCCGAGCCCTCCCTGACAGAAGGCACCATTTTACAGGCCTAGAACACTAACTTACCCAGCCTCACTGCCAGCAGCACCAGGTGATTGGACTAGGGCATTCTGCAGGCCCCTCCTGAATGGCACAGCTCAGGAGGTGCCAGAGACTTCTGTGATGAGCTAATCTGCAGCCCCCAGCTCTGATAAGCCTCTAGCTCCAGGAAATCCAAGCCCCCACAGCGAGGGCAGCTGCTATTTATTTTCCTAGAGAGAATATTTTTATACAGTTCTGCCAAAATGGAATAAAAGTCTTGAAGCTCTGGCCTGGATGTCTAGTTGGATGCAGAGGCTAAAGGGAGGCAATTTGCAGCCTGAAGCTGTAGGTTCCACCCTCAATCCCTGACACACTGCGTGACCTTGAACAAATTCTTTAATATTTTTTGGGCCTCAACTGTCTTATCTGACAAATGGGGATACATCTGCTCTGCCACATCTACAGGATTGACGGTACTGTGGGATGCAAGCAAAGATTATCATCCTGTGGGAGCAGTGCTCTTGCTTGTGCCGTAGGGGGCGCCAGTATGTCCCCTTGCACCTTCCAAGAAGGGCCAGTGGGTTATAGGCCCCCGACACCTGCTTCCTGCCCCATTGTCTTGAACAGGAAGGTAGCGGGGAGGGAGCTGGAGCCACTTCAGGGCTGCCCCGGCGCCCGACGGGGGAAGTCCATGGTTTACCACCGTCACGCATCCCACCCCAGCCTTGAGATAATGGGAGAGTCAGCCACCTTCGTTCGGCAGTCCCTTCGGATGAAAGGGCTACCCCGTCTCAGCGTTCCCGCCCTCATCCCAACCCCGGCGAGTCCCAAACAGACGCTGCCAAGGCTTTGGGCTCTGCTTCCGTCCCGGTTTATTAGTCTCCACAAAACCCCCCGCAAGTCCCTCCGCTCCAGACTCCAGTCCCCCTGCTGCCCCGCCAGCGAGATCGAGGGGCCCTCCTTAGTACCAGGGTTTCTCCGTCCATGGCAGCGGTCCCCGGTGCGCAGCCAGGACAGGTCCCGAGGTTCACAGCAGTCCCTGCGCTCAGGGAGCAATCCGGGCGGGCATCAAGCGTAGAAGCAGTGCCTTCAGTCGTCGGGGGAGCAGGCCAGGGGCAACTGATCGGGGCTGCCCACGCTACCAGTGCTGGAGCTTCCGTCGCCTAGGTCTCGGGGTCCGCAGGGGGGAAGGGCAAGCTCGGGGGTGGGCCCGGTGCCTGAGCCCCCCGCGCCTGCGGGGCCGCTGCGGGGACCCCACTCCTCACCCAGAGCCAGGCAGAGCTCCTTAAGCGCCAGGTTCTCCCGCAGCAGCTCCTCCTGGCGGCCCTCCAGCTCGGCTAGCTTCTGCCAACAGCCGCCCAGGTCCTCACGCACTGCCCTGGATGCTTGGGTCCCGAAAAGCTGCCACTGGCGTGCCGCGCGCCGCCCGCGCTGACGCTCGGAGTCCAGGAAGCAGCAGAGATCGCGCAGCTCGCGGTTCTCAGCCTGCAGGCGCCGGTTGAGCTGTTTGAGCTCGCGGATCTCGCCCAGGTGACCCTGCAGCTGCCGATTCACCTCCTGCATGAGCCGGCCGCGCTGCACCAGTGCGGCCAGGCGCGCCGCCTCTTCTCGCCTCAGGCGCCGCACCAGCTCCTCCTTGCCCAGCGCCGCCATCTCGTCGTCCGTCAGCTCCTCCAGGCCGCCTGCCTCGGCCTCCATGGCTGCTCAGGCCGCTGGAGCATCGCCCGTTCGCCGCGACGGTCCAGAAGCCCACGTCCGGCCCGGAGCAGCTCTGGCTCGGGCTCCGGCTCAGCGGGCGGCGGAGAGTGGCAGAGGCAGCGTAGGCTGCAGCAGCCACCCGGGGGTGGGCACGCGGCGGGGCGCGCGCCGGGGCGGGGCTACATGATGTTACGGAAGGACAGCCAATCCGGGAAGCTTTCCGGAAAGGGGCAGGGCTTGTGAGCAGAGAACCAGTTCCCTGCCCACTCGCGACTGAGGGGTCACGGCTCCCGGCGCACAGGGGACCCGGGTATCCTTGCCCTCTGCGCTGGTTTCAACACGCGACTTGGAGACAAGTTGTGAATCTTCTAAGCGTGAGCCTAGACTTGTCAGCTCCTTCAAAAGATTCAGGAGTCGGGCTGGGGATTTAGCTCAGCCGCACAGCGCTTGCCTGCAAGCGTGACGTCGTGAGTTCGATTCCCGGTACCAGGAAAAAAAAAAAAATTCAGACGTCCTCGTTTCCTAATCACCGTAAGAAGGAACCCAGACGGGTTGCTATCCAGGCCATCCTTAAGTCGAGCTGAGGAGTCCTGACTCATCAAACATCACTCCCAACTAACTCCTTAGAATCCAGAATCCAAACGTCCTAGCTCGTTATTAGCCTGCCCTCTCTCCCCGGAAGCGTTTCCTGCATGGAAGTAGGGGTGGGAATCCAAGGGATTCGTTTGTTCAATAAACTTTTATTTTGTGTAAGACTCATGCAGAAATACACTCGACCAAAATACTGAGCATGACCTCATAAAGTCACAGTCTAGCAGAGAAAACAGACACATGTGGGAGGAAGATAGGGGATGTAGCTCAGTGATAGAGCATTTGCCTTGCACAGGCAAGGCCCTTGTTCACCTCAGCACCAAAAAAAAAGAGCAGGAATACAGTCTCGGGGATCCAAAAATATTTCCCAAAAGAGGTGATACCAAAGGGACCCTGAAAGATGCACAGGCTTTGAGAGAGCTATGCCAGGGAAAGGGGGGCAGAGGGGAATGATGCCAGAAAAAGCCTAGCTGCTTTAGAAACAATGAGGGTAGCTTGATCCCTTTGAAAAGCAAATGTGTACAGAAAGTGGCAAGACAAGGAGGGAGCTTTCCGGGTGGGTGGAAGCTAGAATTTTAAGAGCTTTCAATACTAGACTGGAGTGTTTCCAAAGGCCAGAAAGGATTTTAAACATAGGAGTAACATTTTTAAATATGCATTTTACAAAGATTGTTCAGCTGCTCTGTGTGGGATGGGCCCTGGAGCAAAAGGATGTAAGCTGGCAGATTAGTAACACTGTGTCGGATGAGCAAGAAGAGCTATGCAGAAAGGCCAGGCTGGAACTGCAACAGTGGGAGTGGAGACAACGAAACAAGATACTACAGATATTTAGGCAACAAATCAGCAGAACTAAAAGTGGGGAGAGAGGAAATCTGGGAGAGAGCCCAGGTTTCTACTGTGAGAACTGGGTGGATGTTGGGGTGTGACTGCGATAAGGATGCAGTAAAGACACAGAGTGGGAAGAGAGGTCTGTCTAGCATCTGTTGAAAGTTCCAAGGGTTTATGGGAAGACCGTGTGGGTGTGGACAGACTTGGCAGTCAGGCAGGTGGGGGGCTTCCACGCGGAGCTCAGAGGGACAGAATAAGAGACATCATTAGCTTGTATGAGGACGGAGTGTGGTTAAAACCGTATGGGAGCAGGTGCCCATTGACCAAGAGAGGAGGGACACAGGGGCCTCCAGCAAGAGCCCTTAGAAGTAGGGCCCCACACTTGTTTTGCAGAGAAGACATTTAGGATACAGGCCTGTGAAACTTCTAAGTTTGGGATACAGGTTAAAATTGGGAGGCCCGAAGAGGGTAGAGAAGGTGGGAGAAAAAGCCAGGAGGAAGAGAAGAGAGTTTGCGGTGGGGGGAGAGGAAAACGGGGGCACTCTGTCTTTTGGTTTTTTTTTTGAGACAGGGTCTCGCTATGTAGTTAAGGCAATGATCTTGAGCTCACTATGTAGCCCAAGCTGGGCTCGAACTGGCAGAGATCCACCTGCCTTAGCCTCCCGAGTGTTGGGATTACAGGGGTGTGCCACCACGGCCCGCTTGGCGGCGGCGCTCTGGACGCCCTCCTCAAAAAGGCTAGGAAAGCCAGAGTAGGAAATGCAGAAGAGCCTAGGATTCCTTCTCCCACTTGAAGGACCTGCTACTCTGCAGCCCAGACCAATGCCTTTTTTCTTGGCTCCCGCCCACACCGGCTCATACCGGAAATGGTCCTTCACTGGCTCCGGGCACCCGGAGCAGAATCTCTGCGCTCCCGGAAGTGGCCCAGCGGCAGCACGCCCGGCCGGGGCGGTGCTGGCTCCTGCTGGGGGCGCCCGGGGCCCGGGCATAACCATGACCAGTGAGCTGGACATCTTTGTAGGGAATACGACTCTTATCGATGAGGACGTGTATCGCCTCTGGCTGGATGGCTACTCAGGTCTGTGTGAGGCCGTGTGGGGGACTCCTGGCGGAGCGTTGTTTTGTATAAGAGTGGGGCGGAACTAGGATTTGGGCGTCCTTTAGGGAAGTTGGCAGGCGGCTGGGAATAAGGGATGTGGAGAAGTTGGGCCGAAATCCTTGAGGGTCTCTGGGGTTGGCACAGTGGGGCTGATATTAGCGCTTACTCTCCAGTGAGCGATGCGGTGGCCCTGCGCGTGCGCTCCGGGATCCTGGAGCAGACGGGGGCCACGGCAGCCGTGCTGCAGAGCGACACCATGGACCACTATCGCACCTTCCACATGCTGGAGCGCCTGCTGCACGCGCCCCCAAAACTGCTGCACCAACTCATCTTCCAGATCCCGCCCTCCCGGCAGGCTCTGCTCATTGAGAGGTGCTCACTTGGATGGTGGGGACGCTAACCAGGATAACCATATACCCACTTTGCAGGCTGAAACTGAGGCCCAGGGAGGGATGGGACTTACCCAGGATCTCAGAAAGTTGAGAGCAGAAGGGGCCGCACCAAGCCCCTTTTCTCCTTTATGAAAGGTCAGTGATGTCGTGCCTCCACCAGGTACTATGCTTTTGATGAGGCCTTTGTTCGGGAGGTCCTGGGCAAGAAGCTGTCCAAGGGCACCAAGAAAGACCTGGACGACATCAGCACCAAAACAGGCATCACCCTTAAGAGCTGCCGGAGACAGGTGGGCACTGCACCCACATGTGTACCACATCCCACCTACCATCCACCCCCTCACTTCATCCCTTGGCCACTGCCCCAGCTCTGCCCTCCAATTGTGGTAGCATCTTCCTAGCAGTTTCTTCTCCCCCTTTTTGTCTCTGTTAAGCCATCCCCTCCATTACGGCCAAAGTGGCTTTTTACAGACCCAGATCTGACCATGGCTTTCCCTTACTCAAACTCTGATTGGCCCCGTTGGTTCCTGGGTAGCAGCTGCTGTCCTTATCCTTGACCTTTAGATTCTTCTATAGACTTATCCAGATTTACATTTCCCTTACATTTTGCTCATCTTGTTCCTACCTAGAAGGTACTGTTCTTGGCTATAGCTACTCCTTGAAGTCTAAGGCAGGGACCACGACTTTTTGGTGGTGCTAAGGAGGGGTGACCCTTATGGGCCTTTGATGTCTTTTGTCTGCGTCTGCTGTGAGCTCCTATGTACACCCTTAGCATTAGCTCACTTCAGGTTCCTAGGATTTAACCAGGAGTGTCTGTTCTGGCTCAGATTTCTGAAGAATCAGAGAGTATGATGCACGAATGGAGTTGAACACGGAGCTAGGAGATGAGTAGACATTTGTCCTAGGTAACATTACAGAAGCCAATAAACATTTGTTGACTTGATAACAGCTACTAATCACTAGTAGTTTGTTGAAAGGATAACAAGTGCTAAATCAGCACTGCTAACTAGATAGGTGGGTAGGAGAGTGGGGTATTCAGTAAGTTTTCATTGGGTGAGTACTTTCTAATCAGTTCTTCTCCCCTAACTGCCCTACAGTTCGACAACTTTAAGCGAGTCTTCAAGGTGGTGGAGGAAATGCGAGGCTCCCTTGTGGATAACATTCAGCAACACTTCCTCCTCTCTGACCGGTTATCCAGGTGAGGGCCAGTCATCTGCCCACCTGCACGCGTCTCTGCCCACCTGGCTCTAAAGCTAGTCCACTTTCCCTACCTTAGCCCACTCAACTCCTGGCTGGTATGGGGAGGATGGTGGTCCCACTTTTGCTCTGTACTTTAGATCAGACTGGCCTGGGTTTGAATCCCAACATGATTACTTTCCAGCACGGCTGTTTTAAGTGTTGTAAAGCACTTAGGAAGTACTCTATTCAGTGATAGTAGCTAATATCCTTATAAGTCTGTTTTGTTTTGTTTTGTTTTGTTTTCCAGTACCGGGAATCAAACTTACAGCCTTGTGCTTGCCAGGCAGGCGCTGTGCCACTGAGCTAAATCCCCAGCCCCATAGCTAATATCCTTGTAGTCTCCCACTGTGTCCCTGAAGAAACCTAGGCTGAAACCTCTGCAGAAATGGGGAGACCCATAGAGAAGTGACTTGAGATACATCATGCAGTGGGTTAGGGCAGAAAAGAGGCCACAATGTAGCTGCCTAGGCTATCCACAAACTTGGCTTTCACCCGCCTCAGCCTCCCAGGTAAGCAGGATCACAGGCAGAATTTTTTTTTTTCTTTTTTCAGTACGGGGGATTTAATCCAGAGCTTCTACACTTACCTACATCCCTAGCCCTTTTATAATTTTTAAAATTTTGACATAGGCTCTTACTATGTTACTAAATTGCCCAAGCCAGGTTCGAACTTGTGATCCTCCTGTCTTAGCCTCCTGAGTACTGGGATTACAGGCGTACACCACCACACCCAGTTAGGAATTTTTTTATTCAACAATATTTATTAAGTAAGCTTAATATTCCGCACACCAGGACAATCTCAATGAAAAGGTCTTTCAAGCCTTGAGAGGACCCATTGTCCCCTACTTGCAGGGACTATGCAGCCATCGTCTTTTTTGCCAATAACCGCTTTGAGACAGGGAAGAAAAAGCTGCAGTATCTGAGCTTTGGTGACTTTGCCTTCTGTGCTGAGCTTATGATCCAGAACTGGACCCTTGGAGCCGTCGGTGAGGCCCCCACTGACCCAGGTGCCTGGATGCTCCTCACCCTCTCAGGGCCTGGTTCCCCACCAGCAGTTCCTCCTGCAGGCCCCCAGTTCCCAGCACTCTTTCTTCTTCTCTTATCTTTTTGAGGCCAGGCCTCAATATATTGTTCAGGCTGACCTTGAACTTTCCTTCATCCTGCCTCAGCCTCCGGAGTACTTGGAGTATAGGGATGCACCAAGCCCAGTTTATATCCTTTCTTCTTTCCTCTACTCAGGCCTGAGTCCCTTCTGCTCATAGTCTGCATTCCCCATGCACACCTTGTCTGTAAGCCAAGGGCTCGCTGCCTCTATGGCCTGGAGCATGTCACTCCCCCTCTGTTCCCCTAGGTCCCCTGGGGTTCAGTGAGCGATGGGTGAGGCTGGTTCAGGACCTCATAGAGGGGGTTTATCACCCACCCCAACTGCTTTCATGGACCTCATGCAGACTCCCAGGTGGATGACATGGATGTGGACTTAGACAAGGAGTTTCTCCAGGACTTGAAGGAGCTCAAGGTGCTCGTGGCTGACAAGGACCTTCTGGACTTGCACAAGAGGTGACTTTGGTGGTCCATGGGGCAGGGTCTGGAATAGGGCTCAGGTGGCTCTCAGCATGACGCGGTCTCCCTGCAGCCTGGTGTGCACCACCCTCCGGGGAAAACTCAGCGTCTTCTCGGAGATGGAAGCTAACTTCAAGGTCTGTGGCCCCATCCAGCCTCTCCCTTGGGCATCTTCAGCCTCCCTGTACTACCCCTGCCTGGCAACTCAGCACCGGCTGGAGATTGACTGGCAGGTGGCCCTGCTGCTCCCTCTGCCTGCCTGTGAGAGGGAACCAGCTTATAAACAGAGGGGACCTGGTCGACTGAGGGAGGTGGATAGATTTGGGGAGGGGCCCACCCCTCCCCCAGCCTTTGTGCTCAGTCCCCGGCTTCTGGGGCAGAAGGCAGAACTCCTAGGATCCCTGACCCACAGAACCTGTCTCGGGGACTGGTGAATGTGGCTGCCAAGCTGACCCACAATAAGGACGTCAGAGACCTGTTTGTGGACCTTGTGGAGAAGGTAAGCTGCCCTGCCCACCATCCTCCCATCCTCACTTGGCCTGTCCCTGGCTGTACGGGTAGCACTAGATATAACTTCGTGCCCACAGTTTGTGGAACCCTGCCGCTCTGACCACTGGCCACTGAATGATGTGCGGCTCTTCTTGAATCAGTATTCAGCATCTGTCCACTCCCTGGATGGCTTCCGGTAAGAGGCCCCAGTCTTCCTGTCCAGTTGGACCTTGACCCAGCTGGCCACTTGCCTCAGATTCTCCATTGTGCCACCCTGAGGATTAGAGTCTGTGTGACCTTGGGCAAGTTAACCTAATCTCTCAGTACCTCAGCTTCCTCATAGGTAAACTCGGGTAGTAATTAGAAGAATCATAAGAATTTATGGACTAATTGGGTTTGGGATGCGCTCAGTGGTGCAGTGCTTACTTGGCAGGTGCAGGACCCTGAGTTCAACGCCCAGCCCCACACCACAGGAAAGAGACTTGCTGAGGACTTGCTGAGCTAAGAAAGCACTCAGAGCAGTGTCTCACTCGCGGAGAACTGTCACTGCTGCTGTTTCCATTACAGGCACCAGGCCCTCTGGGACCGCTACATGGGCACCCTCCGTGGCTGCCTCCTACGCCTCTATCATGACTAAGCCCCTCCCTCCACCCTGCTCATTGTGACAATAAAGTTGCCATGCGTTTGGACACCAAGCCTTGCTCCAGGGGGAGGAGCATGCAGGGACATGTGTAGTGTGTACGTGTGTCCCTGCGTGCCATGGTGTTCGCGCACGAAGGTATGGTGCACTCCAGCCCATCCGGAATGGGGATGGCTGGTCAGAGATGCCATCTATGCTCTCCCCACCCACCATCTCCAAACTCCAGCTCACTTCACTCAGGCAACAGAAGCCTTGTTTTGATTTATTCAACACCGTATGGAGAAAGGTGGGACAACAAGCAGAACCTTCAAGACGGGCAGTGAGGAGGCAGCTAGTATGTGGGAGAGGCTCAGGGAGGGCAGGAGACTGGCTTCTTCCCTGGATTTTGTATACAGGCTGTGATTGGGTACTTGGTGATGCCACAGGTGTCGCTCCCTCGGTGCAACCGGAAGTAGCCCTAGGAAATTAGAGGACATCACGGCCAGAAGGTGGGGAAGGGCGTGTTGTGCCCTGTCCCTTCTGCCAGTGAACCTGCTCACCTCCTCGCCCCAGTCGGCCCCCCAAGAGTTCTTCAGGATCCAGTAGGGGGTGGAATGGCGAGGAGGACGGTTGGAGCTGGACAAGTCTTTCTCTGTGCCTTTCTCCTCTACTTTGCTTCTGCCAAAACCCACCAGCAGGACGTAATGGTCCACATACCAGGGGTCACAGGTGGAGGGCGTGCCCTTGATTACACCCTTCTTGTAATGCTGTGGAGGTGGGGGAAGAGGGGCTGAGTCTGGGGCGCCTCGCCACAGGCCCCTCTCCCCCATCCCCTACCCCACGCACCTGCAGTCGCTCTGAGTTGATGATCACAGTGATAGGGCCCTGCGTGGCCACATACTCGGCAATTGCTGGAGACAGAGAGTGCCATCAGGCCCTGCCTGCCTCGGGGCTGCTGCTGTGGACACCTAGGTGTCCCTCTCCCCCCCACACCCCCTCCGTCTGCCTCTGTCCTGTGCCCTCTGTCTCTCCCCCACTCCACCCATGTCTCCCCGCTCTGGCCGCACCCTGCTCATTGCGGGGCAGCATGATGTAGTCGTAGATCCAGGCCACCTTCGTGTAGTTCGGTGCCAGGCACCTGTGGGTGTTGGCACGCCCCCGGAACGGGTAGTCCTTTTCGCTGGCCAGACCACCTGGAGACAAGGAAGGAGACTCAGTTCCTGGATGTCCCCCACCCCTGCAGTTGTCCAGCAAGGCCAGGTACTCACTGTAGTTGAGGGCAGTAATGAACGCGTCCCAGACGTAGCCACCTATGCAGCCATCCCCGCAGCGGCCACAGTCAAGCAGCTCTGGGGCAAAAAGGGGCAGCATAGGTGACCACGCCCCTAGTCCTCCCCTGTCACATCCCCGTTTCCATCCCAGGCATACCTTGCACGGAGACTTCCACAGACGGTTTGAAATTGATGTTCCACAGGGCTTCGATGTTGCCTGCTGCCGCCATGGCCCAGCAGCACCTGCACTGTCCCTAGTGTGTTACAGAGTAGGGCACGATAGGGTGTCTAGGTGGGTTGCCCCTCTCATTTCTCACCCTTTGGGCTGCACTGGGCTCACCTAGGTCGGGGCAGATACCTGGTTCTTGACAGGTGAGATGACGTGGGCTTTCCTCCAGTCACAGCTTTGGGGCGTCCACTCCTTCTGCCTTTCAAAGCTTACCTCTCTGACCATCTCAAGGCCCTTCCTGGCTGCCCTCCAGTTCCCATAGAGCTGGCCAAACTCTTCCTCTGGGGGACAGACAGGACCAGAGAAGTTACAGCTCCCTCTCCGTATCCTGCCTCTTCCGCTCCAGCCATCCACATCCTTGGCCTTTTGTGTTTCCTATAATACTCCGGAGGCAGCATGGCAGGCATGCTGAGGCCTGGAAAGAGGCGGAACTCGCAGCCAGCGTGCTGGCTGCACCTGAACTTCCCCTGCACCTGCTGCCTTTGCCCCAAAAAGGGGCAGGGACACAGGCCGGCAAAGTTCCTGATCTGTGCTTTAGAATTTGGGGCAGGTACCCAGGCTGATTCTGAAAGTGGAAGGTCTCTTCTATCTGTCAGGATTCCCGGGCTAACTTCTGCTTTCCCACCTACCTATGGACTAAGAGGGTCCCAGTACCTGTGAGGTCACTGAATGGAGTCACCCCAAACTCAGCTGTCCCCAAATCCTCCTCTTGCAGCCTCTGAGCCTTGGCCAGGTTGTGGCCAAAGATGTCCAGGCGGTGAGCATACTCTGGACCAGAAAGGAGTTGTCTCAAGCTGATGTCCAATTCCCAGGAGCACAAAGTGGCCACAGGCTAGGCAGCCTCCCACTCAGGCGAGTGCAGATCCTTTTCTGCAGTCTTCACAGGACACACTGCAGATGCTGGGCCAACGAAGTAGTTACCCAGCCCACCTGGGGTTACAGTTTCCCCCAGAGACAGCAAGGGGAGCATCTGCCCACCACTAGGGGAAGCAGTGACTCAGGAGGGAAAGTTGAGTGGTTGGAGACCAGCTTCCTGCTCAGCCACCTCTACCGCCTCTCCTTTACCCCTGTGCCTGCAGGTCTGGGAGGGGAACAGTGGGGTTGGGGGATGGGTGTCCACAGACAAACCCTCTAGCAGAGATGAGACCCATAGAGGACAGGAGCTGGGATGAAGCTCATAGAAGAGAATGAGTCCCCACCTTGGGGCCAGCATGGGTGTCTGCTAAATGAACACAGCTAGATGTGGGTCCCCTGCCCACTGCCTGGAAACACTGGGAAGTGGCTGTGCGGAGGGCACACTGGGCAGATCCCCAACTGCTACCAGCTCCCCCAAGCGTATGGCCAAGGGTGATCCTGTACCTACCCATGGACTGGGGAAGCCAGTGAGTTCCCCAGGCGCCACCATCCCGCTTACTAGCCTGTTCCCCACCCTGAGTATCCAATTCTTCATCTATTAAGTGAGGGCAGGGAGGTTGGACTGGAGGTGGATGTGGCCCGTGGTACCTGCCGGGTTTGAGTAACTCCTGTTAAACTGGATCTGGAACAACTTGAAGACTTCTTTTAGCTCTGGTGGCCCAGGACCTGGGTCCTGGCAAGGTACCAGGGGGAGGAGGTAAAGGTAGAGGGTCATTGCTGGACCACCCCTCCAGCTTCAGCTGTGTAAAGACTGGGCTGGGGTCACCCGGTTAGCCTCCATCTCCTCATGTGAAATGGGATCTCCAAGCCAGTTGTTTCTGAAGCAGTGACCCCCAAGCGTGGGACTGGCAGTGGAGAGGGTATGAGGGGCAGGTGGGAGCACTTACCTGAGCCCCGAGGGAGTCCCTGATGCCTGGGGCTAGGCCTGCCACCAACAAGACCAGGAGGCCGGGGAGATGCATGTTCCGAGCCATGCTGGTTCAGAGCTGAGTGCAGTTTGCTAAGTACTGGGGCAGGAAGCTGTATAAACCAAGGGGTGGAGGTGGAGAAACCACATAGAAAAGCCAGGTTCTCAGTGGACCCTCAGCAGACAAGGTCCCTCAGGCTTTCAGGCCTTTGTCTTATCTATGTGCCTGTTTCTGGTCCATCAACCCACTTTTTCTTTACTCAACAGTGATTCTAGGCCACTGTGTTCTGGATAATTCTAGGTATGCAGAGATGAACCTGCCCTTAAGGAGACAGGGAAACATTCTAAGTGGGCATTCTTACTACTTCTGTGAAGCTTCCTCAGCTCAAGGGTCCCCTCCTTTGAAAAGCCTTCCCTGCTCCCCCAGTCTTTGGTGTAACCATCTGTGGCCCGTGAGTCTCTGATGTACTTGTGCCTGCTTGGCATCTGCCTTCCAACTACACGAGGGGTGTTCGATTTGCCTGTGTCCTCGGCGTCTGGGACAGGGCTGCGTGGAGCAGGTTAGCTGAGTATTTGCTGATGGGACAGCTAGTTGTCAGCTACTGCGTCCTGTTCCTCATTCCTGCCACAGCCCGGGGCGGGCAGCGGGCTCTCCCTAGCGCTGAAGAGGAAGAAGGGTAACAGGTAGGGGGAGGAAAGGAGTGGTAGAGTGAAGACAAGCAGCAGAATACAGTCTCTGGGATCTGAGGCACTTGAAAAACAACCACTTAGTGAAGAAAAAAACCACAAAGTACATCTTTGGGAAGCAAGAAAGTGCCAAGAGGAAAACTAGAAACTACAGAGAAACTGATCACAAAGCAGATTAAAGAACAAAGCAGCCTAGGACGCTAAGCCCAGCTCCCAGGGAGTGGGACCAATCTCCAATCATAGAGCATAAGACTGGAGAGGGTCAGCTCCAGGGAAAAACAAGAGATCCAGGTGGCGGTGGCAGCCACAAGAAAAGCCCATGGTTATTGTAAACTGCAAATTCAATGTGGGGTTTTACTCTGAAAGTAACTCCCATGTGGCGAGCTAGTGTTTGATACTGTTTAATCGGGAGCCATTTCAGGAAGAGGTTAATTACTTTAAGACTGAGCAACACTTCAAACTTTCTGGAGTCAGCATACCGCAGTGAGTGGGTGGGAGACAGCCACAAGAGACAGTTGTAGACAGGGCACGGGCTAGACATAGACCCCCTGAGCCGCGGCCAGGGAGAAGGGCATGGGGCTCCTGCCCTCTGGTGAGAAGCCAGGCCAGTAGTGTGTGGTTTTCAGAGGTTCTGGGTCTGAAGGTGCTGGCATTAAGTCCAGCATTGACCTGCCCACCCCACCCCTGCCCACTGCCTACATGCAGCGCAGACCTCAGAGGCCTGTTTGCTTTTCCCATGTGCCAGGATGATCAGGTCAGCACCTAGGCTGGGACGGGTGCCACAGCCTTGGATATACAAAGGGCCCTGCGGAGCAGTGGGGCACCTCACAAACCCACAGGCCATAAAGCTAGGTGGAGAAAGCAGTGACATGGAACACACAGAAGGACACAGAAACTGGGAGTGGCTGGAGGAAACACAGCCCTAGGGCAGACACCGCTGCCCTACATGGGAATGGGAGAGCGGAACTCAGCATTCAAGCATACGAAAGTGAGCGGGGAAACAGCAGGGCTTAGTACCGACACGTGGTCCTCTCCGATATCTCGTGGGTGCCAACCCCACAGACCCCACAAAGAAACCACTCATTCAAAAGCACAGAGGAGCTGGGCGTGGTAGCACACACGCCTGTAATCCTAGCACTCAGGAGGCTGAGGCAGAAGGATCATTGCGAGTTCAAGAGCAGCCTGGGCTACAAAGTGAGCTCAAGGCCAACCTGAACTGCACAGCGAGACCCTGTCTCAAAAAAGACAAATACAGGGGCTGGGGATTTAGCTCAGCGGCACAGCACCTGCCTGGCAAGCACGAGGTCATGAGTCTGATCCCCAGTACTGGAAAAAAACCAAAAAAAAAAGACAAAAACAAAAGCACAGAGGAATTTCTCTTTTTCCTCATTGGTTTTGTAGGGCTTTTTTCTTTTCTTTTGCCCTCTCTTTCTTTTTCCTTCTTCTTTTTCTTATGTGTTCTTTTACTTTTATCTAGAAGTAGAGCTAGCATTTAGAATTACCAATTTTCTGTTATTCTTTAATCAGATCTTTTCTTGCTTTTTTTCTGTCTCATCTTCCTTATCTTTATTTTTTCAAATTTTACTTTCATTTTCCCCTTGACCATGCTAAAATTCTTTTTTATTGTTAATGGTGTTATGGTTCTTGTTTTGTTTTGTTTTGTCTTTTTGAGACAGGGTCTCGCTAGGCAGTTCAGGCTGGCCTGGAGCTCACCTTACAGCCCTGGCTGGTCTTGAACTCACAGTGATCCTCCTGCCTCAACCTCCTGAGTGCTGGGATTACAGGTATGCGCCACCACACCCAGCTGGTATGGTTGTTCTGTGTAGTAGATATTTACTATTTGTCAATATTTTGTTTGTCTTTGTGTCTGTATTATTGCAGGCCTTTTTTTTTTTTTTTTTTTTTTTTTGACTATTTTTGTCCCAAAAGTAGAGACTGAACAGTTTTTTACTCTTCCGATTTCATTTCTTTTTTTGTGTGTGTATTTTTTTTTTTTTTTTTTTTTTTTTTTTTTTAAGATGGTCTCTCTATGTAGTCCAGGCTGGCCTTGAACCCACTATGTAGTCCAGGCTGACCTTGAACTTGCAGAGATCCTCCTGCCTCAGCCTCCCATGTGCTGGAATTACAGGTCTGCACCACTACTCCTGCCTATGGAGATCTTTTCAATTGTTAAGGGTGATACAGTAGTATCTTATTGATTCTTATGGTATGTCAATATCCATTTTGGCTTTGATTATTATTGTTGCTATTGCCCAGGTGGCATAATTGTTGCTGTTAACAGTTTTTTACTACATCCCAATATCTGGTTTGTCTTTATGTCATCAACAATACTGCAGTTTGTTTCTGGAAAACTGGGTGCTGGGCCAATTACAGTGCATGCTCCCCTCCAGATTAACAAAACTGGGCGAATCTTGAGACAGAGGCAAAGGCTTATAGTTAGTCATGCAGAGTGCATTGCTGGAAAGCAGACACTAACTAAAGAGATATCCATATTAGCAACAAGTCTTTCCACTATAATCAACCCTCAATCCTCAGCTATACACAGACACACACAACACACACAAACATGTAAAAACAAGATAAGAAAATGTCTCCCAAAACTCAACTCCTGATTTAGTAACTTTTCTCAATTCTGAGACAAAATACATAGCAGTTAAACTGAAAGTGAAAGGATGAAAGATTTATTTCACTTTAGTTTGTAGAGGTTTCTGTCCTTCGTCACCTGGCTGCAAGGCCGGGTGGCATGGCTGAGGGGCATGGCAGAGGAGAAACAGTCCGTGGCAGGGCAGGCAGAAGTCAGCAAGTAGCAGCAGTCAACCTGCCTCTCTTTTGTCCTATCCAGGCTACCAGCCTTTTGGGCAGTGCTACCCAGAAGTATGCTAATTCCAATCAGCACACTAATTTAATACCATGCATCCTTAATCCCAGCATCACACCCCCTAGGTCCAACCAACTCCAAAAAGCCCCAGTTATGAGTGCATGAGGCTTTGGGGGGACATTTAGATATAAGCCATAACACTTTCAAAGCTGATCCATGGGGCATTAATGTGGAGGAAATCAAAAGCCAAACAGCTAAATTTATAGCAGTGAATACCCATATCAGGAAAATACAGCAATTACAAATAAACAACTTAATGGTAAACCTTAGGCTTCTAGAAAAAGAAGACCAAGCTAAACCAAAAGCTCATATGAAGGAGGGAATTATAATGATCAGAGCAGAAATTAACACATTGGAGACTTAAAAAAAAATACAATGAATCAAAGAGTTGGTTCTTTGAAAGATTAAATAAAATCAATAAACCTTTATCCAACCTTATCAAAAAGAGGAAAATTTTGAACCTTATCAAAATTTCATCAAATCAACAAAATTAGGAATTAAAATGGTGAAATCACAAGAGATCCTGCAGAGATCCAGAAGGTCATCTAAACCTACTTTGAAAACTTATATTCTAATAAGATGGAAAATGCAGAAGTGGCAGTCCCTAGATACATATAAATTACCAAAGCTGAATAAAGAAGGTATAAAAATCCTAAATAAACTAATATCAATCAATGAAATCAAAGATGCAACTAAAAACCTACCAACAAAGAAAAGCTCTGATAGATTCACTGCTGAATTCTACAAGAAATTTAGAGAAGACCTATTACCACTACTTCTCAAACTCTTTAATGAAATTGAAAGGGAAGCAATACTCCCAAATTCATTCCTGGAAGCAAGCATTACCGTGATACCAAAACCAGAGAAGGACCCAACTAAGAAAGAGAACTACAGGCCAATCTCTTTAATGAACATAGATGCCAAAATTCTCAAGAAGATACTGGCAAACAGAACGCAGCAAATCAAGAAGATTATACACCACGAGCAAGTGGGGTTCATCCCAGGGATGCAGGGATGGTTCAATATATGTAAATTAATAAATGTAGTATACCATATTAACAGAGCCAAGGGTAAAAATAATATTGTCATTTCAACAGATGCAGAAAAAGTTTTTGACAAAGTCCAGCAACCATTCATGATAAAACCCCACAGAAAATTGGAATAGATGGTCTTCATCTCAACCTGATAAAAGCCATCTATGACAAACCAACAGCCAACATCATACTGAGTTGACAAAAACTGAAAGCTTTCTAAAGTCAGGAACAAGACAAGAATGTCCACTCTTATTCAATATAGTTCTGAAAACTTCAGCCAGAGCAATTAGACAACAGAAAGGACTAAAAGGAATAATGATAAGAAAGGAAGAATTATCATTATTTGCAGATGACATGATACTCTACGTAGAAGAACCCAAAAACTCCACTAAAATACTGCTAGATTTAGGAAGCAAATTCAGTAGCAGAGTTGGATACAAAGTCAACACTCAGCCAGGTGTAATGGCGCATGCCTGTAATCCCAGCCCTGGGGAGGCTGAGGCAGGA